AATAAATTATTCTAAACTTCCATTAATAATAACACATAACTACAGATTAATAAATATAAAATTTAACGAATAATGAATATAGAGATTAAAATAAATATAAAAGTTTTTTTGAAATTTTTTTTTCAAATTATCTATAAATAATTTAATTGTTCACTAAATGTAATAAAATGGAAAATAGAATGTGACAAAAATAAAATTATATATACATTAAACATTTATGACTTCAACAAATATTTCTATGTTTATCAATCAATTTTATCAATGTTTATTTAATATATAATCTTTAGAATCATACTTTAAGTATGATTTAAAATCATTACTTTTTTAAGTTTTCTATCTATTTTATATTACACACAAAATTCCAAATATTAATATAAACATATATTATACATATATATTAAAACATAAATACTTTTGTTTTCTTTTGTAAATTAAAAATTCATATTAAATTTTCTTTGTATATATATCTTCTAATATTTCTTATAAATATTTATATTATATATATAAATAGAATAGGATATTGAAAAATTTAGGACATTGAATTTCTTTAAATAATTTTTCAATAATAATTTTTATATTATTTTCAATTGTAATTCATATAAGATTTTCAATCAATATTATTGAATTTCTATTATGTAAAATATTATTTTTTTGTTTATGATAAACAATTTTTTCAAATAATTATTCTTAAATGCAAATATTGATATTTCTTTTTTATTATATCTTATTTATAATAGCAACAAAATTTTTGTTTTAAATTACTTAAAAACAATTTACTAGCTTTTCATATAAAATTTATATGATGTAAAACTTAATTAATAATTTGATTTATTGTCAAAATTATTAACTTCTTTAATTATAATAATTTTTTCATTTTATATGTAAATAAATTAATATATTAAAATTACAAAAAATGCTTATTAAGTCATTTTGAGTAATCTAATATTTTTACGAAAATATAAAATATAAAAAAATATTAATTTAATTTTAATTATTTTAATTAATTTAAATTTAATTATTAATTTAATTAAATTTTTTTAATGAAAAAATGATATAAATTGAATTAATTTTGTTTTTAAATATTATATTTAAATATTTTAAATATTTTATTTAATATTTTATATTAGATTATAATAATCTTGTTCATATATTTTTTGATACTTCTTGATTTCATATAAAATATGGTAATTGACTCAAATTATTATGTTAGAAAAATAATTAAATGGTCAAATATTTATATTTTTCCTTAATAATGATATGATATCTTATAAAACATATAAGAAAATTTTAAAAATTATTAATAAATAAATTATTAACAATTATATTGATCTCTATATTTTATTTTATAATTTAATATTGAATATGAATTGAAAAAATTTTTTATTTTACAATTACATAATTATTAAAATTTTTATTGGAAAAATTTTTATTAATATTTATTATCTTATTCTTTTCAATCTAAGATTCCAATCGCGACAATAAATTTTTAAATATTGGATATTTGGATATTTTTCCATAAATATGAAAAATTTTATGAAACAATCAAAATAAATTACATAAATTTAAAATTTTTTCTAAGAAATTAAAATTTTGATTATTGTATGTAATATTGTATCATATGAAAAATTTATTTAATATTATTATATTAGAGAAATA